ACACAAGTGGGTCAACATGCAACTTATCAAATAAAGCAGTGCTCACAAAAGGAATTCCTCACTATGCAGAGGCAGACTGGTAGCCTCAGATGCTTCTGGTAGCTCTCCACTCCTATGATCTCACAGGCTACCTCTGTAGCTTACTGATCTTCCAGGAAAGAAAAGTGCCAAAGAGGCCACTCTTCATAGTTTGGGTCTCAAGCATTCTCTTAGCATAGGGAAAGAACAAAGCTGGGTGGAGTCACAGCTCCACCAACTGTGTGGTCATAGGCAACTTACTCAGCTTCTCAGAACTTCAGACACCTCATCTGTAAGAAGTTCTGTTGTTATAGCTGACTACTAGACATTTTAAAACTTTCAAAGTAAGACTTCAGGTAAGATGGAGGAATAAGCAGACAAGCTACACACACCCTCATCAACAAAGAAAAGAGAAACCAATTGACAGAGATACAGAAGAAAATCCTGGAGCCCTGAGCTTTGAAAGGAAGTATACAGAAGTGGATTAGACACCAACTAGTGGAAAAACCTGAACAAGAACTGTGAGTACAGAAGTGGTCAGAGCAGTAGACTGTCAACTACTCTGATGGGACCAACAGCCTGAATACTTCCAAGTGGTGTTGGGACCTGAGAATTGACTTAAAGATCAGCCCCGGTTGCCAAGGGCTGCACTGGTGGCCTATGACTAGGAAGGGAAACATCAAGGAGGCAAACAATCTGAGCTGTGGACTTTTGGTTGTCCTAAAGGCACAGCCGCTTTGATTGTTTACAAGTGGCAGCCATTTTGGATTTTAAAGTGACAGCATTCTCATTCAGATTCCAGGGACCTAAGAATAGGCTCCTTTTGCCCAGGATGGCAGGGACATACAGGAGGCTGACAACAGGAAAGCAGACAAGTGCTGAGTGTATAAGTACTGCCAACTAGCGAATAGAGAAGCACAGCACAGCACCCTGCTAGCATAGATAACATACAAACAAAACAAAGAAAATGAAAATTGTGGGCAAGTCACTCCAACATACAATCACCAATTAAATATAAACACAAAAATATTACAATGCCTTAGAGACAACAGAGCATCACAGTCCACACAAAGAAGCAAGATAAAGCAGGAGAAACAAGGGACCAGGATACAGACCCAAAACACATCTCTGAGGAAGACACAGCATTGGAACTCTGATAAGGAATTCAAAAAATATATATTTAGGTACCTTCACCAAATTGAGAGACAGATCAAGGAAAACACTGACAAAATTGAGGAAAACACAGAGAAGACCCTATAATAATTTTGAAAGACAATATTAGAACAAAATGACAAAATAAATGAAAAATTAGAAAGGATACAAAATCTACAGACAGAAATCCAGAAGATTAATACTAAATTTTCAGAAATAGATAAGACACTGAACAGGCAAAGGAGTAGAACTAAATCAATGGAAGACAGAATTAATGAGATTGAAGGCAAATACCTCAATACTTCTTTGGAAAGGGATCAATCAGAAAAAAGATCAAAACAAAATGAAGAAAACCTAAGGTTCATGTGGGATACCATCAAAAGGAATAACCTACGTGTAATCAGAATTCCAGAACAGGAAGAGACAAATAAAACCACAGAAAAAATTGTTGAAGATTTGTTGGAAGACAATTATCCTGGTATGATGAAAGATGAGAATATATCCATTCAAGAAGCCCAACAAACCCCAAACAGGATAGACCCCAAAAGAACATCACCAAGACATATCATCATCAAACTCACCAAAACCAAAGACAAAGAGAGAATCCTGACAGCAACACGGGAAAAATGAGAAGTTTTCTACAAGGGGGCAACCAATAAGACTAAGCTCAGATTTTTCAGCAGAAACCATTCAGGGGAGAAGACAATGGGATGGTATACATAAAGCCATGAAAGAGAAAAATTTCCAACCAAGAATTATATACCCACCAAAATTGTTCCTCAAATACGATGGTGAAATTAGGACATTTCCAGATAAGCAGAAATTAAGGGAATTTGTTAAAACCAGACCAGCCTCACAAGAGATGCTAAAGGGAGTCCTTTGGACAGATAACCAACAACAGCAAACAATAACTGACCATTAACACACATGATGCCATAACCCGGAAACCAACCCAGTTATAGAAATATCCAAGGTAAAGAAGCCTACAAGATTGTAAACAGGGAAACAAAGACATCAATTGACAAATGAGGACAACTACAAACCCAAAAGGGAAAAAGTTGTGTAGTTGCAGAACTTCTAGATGGTAGGGAAGTCAGGACAACTACAAGATAGAACAGACTGTTCTAAACTTGGGAAGAAAATTATAAATCACAGGGTAACCTCAAAGAAAAATTATAAACCTCACATCAAAATGAAAAAGAGGACCAGCACAAATATTTAGCAAATACTGAATATAATGCAGGAGCTCTGGTAGCGTAGTGCCTAAGGCACTTGACTGCTAACCAGAAGGCTGGCGGTTCAAACCCACCAGCCACTCCTCGGAAGGAAGGTT